AAGCCCTAGCTCTCTCAACCTTTCCTCGTAAAAGCTTCTCTCCATTCCAGGCAACATCCTGGTAAATCTCCTTTACACCTTTTCCAACGTCTCCACATCTTTCCTGTAATGAGGTGACCAGAACTGACACAATACTCCAGACGTGGCCGAACCAGGCTTTTGTATAGCTGGAGCATAACTTCACGGCTCTTGAACTCAATCCCTCTATTAATGAAAGCTAACACACCATACGCCTTCTTAACAACTCTATCCACCTGGGTGGTAGCTCTCAGGGAACTGTGAACATGAACCCCAAGATCCCTCTGCTCCTCCACACTGCCAAGAATCTTTCCGTTAACCCTGCATTCTGCTTTCAAGTTTGTCCTTCCAAAATGAATCACCTCACACTTTTCAGGGTTAAACTCCATCTGCCACTTCTCAGGCCAGCTCTCCATTCTATCAATGTCCCTTTGTAACCTAGAACAGCCCTCCGCACTGTCCATGTGACCCACCTTGTATCGTCCGCGAACTTGCTAATCCACCCCTCCACTCCTTCATCCAGATCATTTACAAAAATCACAAACAGAAGAGGACCCAGAACAGATCCTTGTGGTACACCACTCGTAACTGAGCACCATGTTGAATATTTTCCGTTCACTACCACCCTTTGTCTTCTAAGGGTCAGCCAATTCTGAATCCAATCTGCCACATTTCCCCCTATCCCATGCCTCCTTACCTTCTGCATGAGCCTACCATGGGGAAGCTTATCAAACGCCTTACTTAAATCCATGTATACCACATCCACTGCTCCACCTTCATCCACGTGTTTGGTCACCTCTTCAAAGAATTCATTAAGGTTTGTGAGGCATGATCTACCCCTCACAAATCCATGCTGACTATCACGAATCAAACTGTGCCTTTCCAAGTGATCATAAATCCTGTCTCTCAGAGCCCTTTCCAATAATTTGCCCACCACTGACGTAAGACTAACTGGTCTGTAATTTCCGGGGTTATCCCTATTCCCTTTTTTGAACAAAGGGAATGACGTTTGCCTCTTTCCAATCTTCCGGCACTATACCCGTGGACAGTGAGGACGAAAAGATCATCGCCAAAGGCCCTGCGATCTCGTCCCTCGCTTCCCATAGAATCCTTGGATAAATCCCATCAAGCCCGGGGGACTTATCTATCTTCAACTTCCTCAGAATTCCTGGCACATCTTCTTTACTAACATCAATCTCCTCTAGCCTACCTGCCTGTTTCACAACGTCGTCCTCTACAACTAGGTCCCTCTCAGTTGTGAATACAGAAGAAAAGTATTCATTAAGGACCTCTCCTATCTCTTTAGGCTCTGTGCACAAATTCCCTTTATAATCCTTGATCAGCCCTCCCCTTTCTCTGGTCATTCTCTTGTTCTGCACATACGTGTAAAAAGCCTTGGAGTTTTCCTTGATCCTATCTGCCAAGGTTTTCTCATGCCTCCTTTTAGCTCTCCGAAGCCCTTTCTTCAGCTCCTTCCTGGCTAACTTGTATTCCTCTAGAGCCTTTTCAGTTCCTCTTTTCCTAAACCTTACATAAGCCTCCTTCTTTCTCTTAACCAGTTGTTCGACCTCTCTTGAGAACCAAGGCTCCTTCACTCGACCGCATCTTCTCTGTCTGCTAGGGACAAACATATCGAGCACATGCAGTATGCATTCCTTAAACAATCTCCACATTTCTGTGGTGCTCTTCCTTGAAAGCATCTGTTCCCAATTTATGTTACCCAGTTCTTGCCTAACTGAATTGAAATTACCCTTCCCCCAATTATAAACTTCACTCTGCCGTATATACCTATCCTTATCCATGACTATTGTGAAAGTAACAGAGTTATGATCGCTACAGCCAAAATGCTCTCCTACCAACTGGTCTAACACTTGGCCCGGTTCATTGCCAAGCACCAAATCCAAAGTGGCCTCTCCTTGTGTTGGTCTATCTACATACTGTGCCAGGAATCCTTCCTGAACGCACTGGACAAAATCTGCTCCATCTAAACTATTACAACTAAAACGTTTCCAATCAATATTTGGAAAGTTGAAGTCACCCAGGGCTACAACTTGTGACTTCTGCACCTTTCCAGTATCTGCCTCCCAATCCGCTCCTCTACTTCTCTGCAACTATTAGGGGGTCTGTAAAAAACCCCCCAACAAAGTGACTGCTCCTTTCTTGTTCCTGACCTCAACCCAAACTGACTCTGTGGACATATCATTCTCGAACTGCCTTTCACTAGATGCTATACTCGCCCTGACGAGCAATGCCGCTCCCCCACCTCTTTTTCCACCCTCCCTATTTCTTTTAAAGCATCTAAATCCTGGAACTTCCAACATCCATTCCTCTCCCTGAGTTACCCAAGTTTCTGTAATGGCCATAACATCGTAGTTCCAAGTACTGACCCATGCTCTAAGTTCATCCGCTTTATTTCTGATACTTCTAGCATTGAAGTATACACACCTCAAACTATCTCTGTGTCCACAATTACGCTCCATCGACCGCATTTCTTTATCAACCACCTCACTCCCTGTTGTGTCTGTTGGAAGGCCGAATACCTCATCCTCTGAATTATCAATCTGGTTCCCCACCCCCTGCCAAACTAGTTTAAACCATCCCGTATAGCTCTAGCAAACCTCCCTCCCAGGATATTTCTGCCCTTCCGGTTCAGGTGCCACCCATCCTTACTGTACAGGTCCCACCTTCCCCAGAATGTGCTCCAATTATCCACATAATGGAAGCCCTCCTTCCTACACCAGCCCTGTAGCTACGTGTTTAGCTGTACTCTCTCCCTATTTCTTACCTCGTTATCACATGGCACTGGTGGTCATCCAGAGATAACTACCCTGTTTGTCCTGGACTTCAGCTTCCAACCTAACTCCCTGTACTCGTTTTTCACATTCTCTGTCCTTTTTCTACCTATGTCATTGGTACCAATGTGTACCATGACTGCTGGTTGCTCACCCTCCCCCTTAAGGATCTTGAAGACACGATCCAAGACATCACATCCGAGACAATCTGCACATATATTGGGCAAATCAAATTAATCACAATGCCATAGAGAAGGAATTCCTGGAGTGCATACGGGATCATTTTCTTGACCAATATGTGCAGGAACCAATTCGAGAGCAGGCCATCTTAGACTGTTTACTTTTATAATGAGAAAGGAATCATTGCCAACATAGCTGTGCAAGGCCCCTTGGGCAAGAGCAACCATAACATGATAGACTTTTTCATCAAGATGGAGAGAGAGGTCGAGCTGGATGAACACAGCAGGCCAAGCAGCATCAGAGGAGCAGGTGGCTGACGTTTCACGCCCGGACCCTTCTTCAGAAAAACTGAAGAAGGGTCCAGGCCCGAAACGTCAGCCTTCCTGCGATCCTGATGCTGCTTGGCCTGCTGTGTTCATCCAGCTCTATACTTTGTTATCTCAGATTCTCCAGCATCTGCAGTTCCTACTATCTCTGGAGAAAGAGGTAGTTGATTCAGAGACTAGGGTGCTAAACCTTAATAAAGGAAGCTACGAGGATATGAGGCATGAGTTAGCCTTGATAGAGTGGTGAGAGTTACTTAGAGGTACAATAGTGGAAAGGCAATGGCAGACATTCAAGGAACGCATGGGGGAAGTGCAACAACTGTTTAGTCTTGTCTGTCGCTCAAGCAAAATGTGTAAGAGGGCCAATCCATGGCTTACAAAGCAAATAAGATATTGTATCTGATGCAAGGAAGAAGCTTACAGGTTGGCCATGTAAAATAATAAATCTGAGGATTGGGAGCGGTTTAGAATTAGCAAAGAAGGACCAAGGGATTGATTAAGTAGGGGAAAATAGAGTACGAAAGTAAACTTGCAGGGAATGTAAAGACTGACACCAAGAGTTTCTCTCAGTACGTGAAGAGAATGAGATTGGTAAAGACACAGACAGAAACGGGGGATGTACAATAGGGGACAAAGAAATGGCTGAGAAACTACATATACACTTTAATTCTATCTTCACAAAAAAAAAAGACACAAAGCAGATACCAGAATTGTTGGAGAATGCAAGGTTTAGTGAGAGGGAAGAACTGAGGGAGATCAATATTATTAGAGAAATGGTGCTGGGAAAATTGTTGGGATTGAAGGCTGAGAAATCCCCAGGGCCTGATAATCTACACCCCAGAGTACTCAAGGAAGTAGCCAATTAGAAATAGTGGATATTGTGCATAATTTTGGAATCCTTTTCTGAAGAAAGATGCTCTTGCTTTTGAGGGAATGCAGCGAAGGGTTACCAGGCTGATTCTGGGGATGGAGGGTCTGACGTATGAGGAGAGATTGACTAGGTTGGGGTTGTTTTCACTTGAGCTCAGATGAATGAGGGGGGATCTCATAGAGACTTCTAAAATTCTAACAGGACTAGACAGGGTAGATGCAGGAGGATGTTCCCAGTGGTGGGTGTGTCGAGAACCGGGGTCACAGTATGAAGATTCAGGGTAGACGATTTAGGATGGAGATGAGGAGACATTTCTTCACCCAAAGAACGGTGAGCCTGTGGAATTCATTACCATAGGAAACAGTCAATGCCAAAATGTATTCAAGAGATGACTCAATATAGCACTTGGGGTGAATGGCATCAAAGGCTATGGGGAGAAATCCGAATTAAACCATTGAGTTGGATGATCAGCACCATCGTGAAGAATAATGAAGAAGGCTCAAAGGGCCAAATGGCCTCCTCCTGCTCCTGTCTTCTATGTTGGTATGTTCAACCAGCAGTTATGTAAACAGCATTTACAAAGATCAGGTGACTTGCTTTTCAAAAGTTCACTAATCCTTTCCACGTGCATTGGTTTCCCAATTCATCATAGAACCATCATAGAATCCCTACAGTGTGGAAACAGGTCCTTCGGCCCAACACGTCCACATAATCAAAACTCACAATTAAAAATACAGAAAAATCAAAAGAGACAGTCTTTAGATCACATTTAATCGAATTCCATCTAGTCTCAGTTTACAAGAGATTGCTCACCAGATCAGTGTCTTTCTCTGTCACCACAGTCTCATTTGATTCATAGTAAGATACCTGGAACTCTTTGGTCATGAGGTATCTGTGGAAAAGAAAAGGAACATGATTGAACAGAGTTCCTCGGTGCTGGTCAATCCATAAAGGATATACTGAGGCTGAGACGCTGTCATTAAACTGTCACAAAGGCCAAAAGACAAATGTAGCAAAGCCATCCCAAGAAAGGATGTCCTTCCATTAAGGATCTGAATGAACCAGATATTTTTACAAGTTTACTATTCAGGATAGCCAGGGACACAGTAAAGGGAGGGAAAAGACGTCTAGTTTAAAGTGCGTTAATTTCAACACATGAGGGCTGACCAGGTAAGGCAGATGAGCTCAGAGTGTGGATTGGCTCTGGGGCCTGGGATATTAGAGCCATAATAGAAACATGGCTGAGGGGAGGGCAGGACTGACAACTCAATGTTCCAGGATACAGAAGCTACAGGCGTGACAGAAGTACAAGTAAGCAAGGAGGGGGAGTTGCCCTTTTGATAAGGGAGCACATAACAACAGTGCTTAGAGAGGATATTCTTAAGGGGTCATCAAATGAGGCCATATGGTTAGAACTTAGAAACAAGAAGGGGATGGTCACTCTGTTGGGTCTGTTTATAAACCTCCAAATATGTACTAGAGAGATACCTGTAGGAATAATAGAGTAGTATTGATTGGAGATTTAAATTTCTCCTGTATTGATTGGGCCACCCAGAATGTAAAAGGCCCGTACAGGTGGAATTAGAACAAAGAACAAAGAACAAAGAAAATTACAGCACAGGAACAGGCCCTTTGGCCCTCCAAGCCTGCGCCGATCCAGATCCTTTATCTAAACGTGTCACCTATTTTCCAAGGATCTGTATCCCTCTGCTCCCTGCCCATTCACGTATCTGTCTAGATACATCTTAAATGACGCTATCGTGCCCGCCTCTACCACCTCCGATGGCAACGCGTTCCAGGCACCCACCACCCTCTGTGTAAAGAACTTTCCACGCATATCTCCCTTAAGCTTTTCCCCTCTCACCTTGAAATTGTGACCCCTAGTAATTGAGTCCCCCACTCTGGGAAAAAGCTTCTTGCTATCCACCCTGTCTATACCTCCCATGATTTTGTAGACCTCAATCAGGTCCCCCCTCAACCTCCGTCTTTCTCATGTAAATAATCCTAATCTACTCAACCTCTCTTCATAGCTAGTGCCCTCCATACCAGGCAACATCCTGGTGAACCTCCTCTGCACCCTCTCCAAAGCATCCACATCCTTTTGGTAATGTGGTGACCAGAACTGTACGCAGTATTCCAAATGTGGTCGAACCAAAGTCCTATACAACTGTAACATGACCTGCCAACTCTTGTACTCAATACCCCGTCTAATGAATGAAAGCATGCCGTATGCCTTCTTGGCCACTCTATCCACCTGCGTTGCCACCTTCAGGGTACAATGGACCTGAACACCCAGATCTCTCTGTGCATCAATTTTCCACAGGGCTTTTCCATTTACCACACAGTTCGCTCTTGAATTGGATCTTCCAAAATGCGTCATCTTGCATTTGCCTGGATTGAACTCCATCTGCCATTTCTCCGCCCAACTCTCCAATCTATCTATATTCTGCTGCATTCTCCGACAGCCCCCTTCACTATCTGCTACTCCACCAATCATAGAGTAGTATTGGTTGGATATTTAAATTTCTCCTGTATTGACTGGGCCACCCAGAATGTAAAAGGCCTGTACAGGTGGAATTAGAACAAAGAACAAAGAACAAGGAAAATTACAGCACAGGAACAGGCTTTTGTCAAATGTGTCCAAGAAGGTTTCTTAAATCAATATTTAAAGTGCCCTACTCAGGAAGGTGCAACACTGGACTGCATACGCATTACTAGGGAGGAGGTATTTGCAGTCTTAAAGCCTATTAAGGTGGATAAATCCCCTAGGCCTGATCAAGTCCATCCTCAGATTTTGTAAAGGTGAGGGCAAAAAATGCAGAGACCCTTGCAGAGATTTTCCCTTGACATTAGCCACTGGTGAAGTTCCGGAAGACTAGAAGGTGATTAATGTTGTTCCATTGTTTAAGAAAGGGAGCAAAGACAAGCTAGGAAACTACAGGCCAGTGAGCCTGACATCAGTCGTAGGTAAGTTATTGGAGAGGATACTGATGGACAGGATCAATCAACATTTGGATAGTCAAAGATAACAAGGTGTAGAGCTGGATGAACACAGCAGGCCAAGCAGCATCAGACAAGCAAGAAAGCTGACGTTTCGGGTCTGGACCCTTCTTCAGAAAAAATTCCAACATTTGGATAGTTAAGGTTTGATTAGGGACAGTCTGCATGGATTTGTGCGCGGGAAGTCATGTCTGACAAGTCTTTTAGAGTTTTTCGAAGAGGTAACCAAGAGGATGGATAAGGGTAGGGCAGTGGATGTTGTCTATATGGACTTTAGTAAGACCTTTGACAAAGTCCTGCACAGCAGGCTAGTCATGAAGATTAGTTCGCATGGGATCCAGGGAGATCTAGCTAATTGGATTCAAAACTAGCTCGATGGTAGGGAACAGAGGGTGATGGTTGAATGGTGTTTCTCGGACTGGAGGCCTGTGACTAGTGATGTACCACAGGGGTCGTTGCTGGGACCTTTGTTGTTTGTTGTTTACACAAATGATCTGGATAAAAATATACAAGGAATGATTAGTAAGTTTGTGGGTGACACAAAATTAGGAAGTATTGTTGATAACAAAGAAGGTTACCATAAATAACAGAGAGATCTTGATCAGATGGAAAATGGGCTAAGGATTGGCAAATACAATTCAATACAGACAAGTGTGAGGTGTTGCACTTTGGAAAGTCAAACAAAGATACGACTTATACAGTAAATTATAAGGTCCTGAGGAGTGTAATTGAACAGAGGGACCTGGAGTACAAGTACATAGTTCATTGAAAGGAGCATCACAGGTGGACAGGGTGGTGAAGAAGGCATTTAGCATGCTGGCCTTCATCGGTCGAGGTGTTGAGTGTAGGATTTGGGACGTTATGTTACAGTTGTATAAGTCGTTGGTGAGACTTGGAGTATTGTGTATAGTTTTGGTCATCCTGTTAAAGGAAAGACATACTTAAATTGGGAAGTGATGTAAGATTTACGAAGATAACACAGTGTGGAGCTGGAGGAAACCAGCAGGCCAGGTAGCATCAGAGGAGCAGGAAAGTTGACGTTTCGGGTCGGGACCCTTCTTCAGGCCTGCTGTGCTCCTCCAGCTCCACACTGTGTTATCTCTGGCTCCAGCATCTGCAGTTCTTACAATCTCTGAGATTTATGAGGATGTTGCCAGGACTAGTAGGTGTGAGTTATAGGGAGTGGTTGGCCAGGATAAGACTTTATTCCTTGGAAAGTAGGAGAATGAGGGCTGACCTTATTGAGGTGTATAAAATCATGAGGGGCACAGACAGGATGAATGTATATAGTCGTTTTCCCAGGGATGGGGAATTGTAAACTGGATGGCATAGGTTTAAGGGGGGAGAGGGGATAGATTTAAGAAGGACCTGAGGGTCAACTTCTTCATGTAGAGTGGTGCGTACATGGAATGGGCTGCCAGAGAAAGTGGTTGAGGCAGGTCCAATAGCAACATATAAAAAACATTTGGATAGATACATGGATGGGAAGGATTTAGAGGGATATGGACCAAATGTGCGTAATTGGAACTCGCTGAGAAAGCAACATGATCAGCATGGACCAGTTTAGGCCGAAGGGCCTGTTTCTATGCTGTATTACTCTATGACTCTATCACTCTACGACAATTAATGATAGTTTAATGCCACTTGGCAGGGGAATTGAGTTTAAGAGCCGTGAGGTTATGCTGCAGTTCTATAAAACTCTGGTTAGACCACACTTGGAATATTGTGTTCAGTTCTGGTCACCTCATTATGGGAAAGATGTGGAAGCTTTAGAGAGGATGCAGAGGAGATTTTCCAGGATGCTGCCTGAACTGGAGGGCAGGTCTTATGAGGAAAGGTTGAGGGAGCTAGGGCTTTTCTCATTGGAGCGAAGAAGGATGAGAGGTGACTTGATAGAGGTGTACAAGATGGTGAGAGGCATAGATAGAGTGGATAGCCAGAGACTTTTTCCCAGGGCGGAAATGACTATTACGAGGGAGCATAATTTTAAGGTGATTGGAGGAAGGTATAGGGGAGATGTCAGAAGTAGGCTCTTCACACAGAGAGTGGTGGGTGTGTGGAATGCTCTGTCGGCAGTGGTAGTGGAGTCAGATACTTTAGAGACTTTCAAGCAACTCTTGGATAGACACAGAGGATAGTAAAATATAGGGTATGCAGGGTAGTTTGATCTCTGTAGGATAAGAGCCGGTGCTGTGCTGTACTGTTCTATGTTCCATCTTCTAAATGCATGACAGAAATGTGGATGTTGTTTTGGGAGCACTTGCGGCGAGTGCTGGATAGATTTGTCCCACTGAGGCAAGGAAGGGATAGTAAGGTGAAGGAACCTTGGATGACAAGACATGTTGAACACCGAGTCAAGAGGAAGAAGGAAGCTTACTTAAGGTTGAGGAAGCAAGGATCGGACAGGGTGCTAGAGGGTTACAAGGTCGCTAAGAAGGAACTGAAGAATGGACTTAGGAGAGCTCAAAGGGGGCATTAAAAAGCCTTGGCGGGTAGGATTAAGGAAAACCCCAGGGCTTTCTATACTCACGTGAGGAACAAGTGGATGGCCAGAGTGAGGGTAGGGCAGATCAGGGATAGTGCTTCAAGTCGGAGGAGGTAATGAATACTTTGCTTCAGTATTCACTAGTGAGAGGGACCTTGTCGTTTAAGAGGACAGCATGAAACAGGCTAATATGCTTGAACAGGTTGATGTTTGGAAGGAAGATGTGCTAGAAATTTTGAAAAACATCAGTACAGATAAGTCCCCTGGGCCAGACGGGATATACCCAAGGTTCCTATGGGAAGCAAGGGAAGGGATTGCTGTGCCTTTGGCAATGATCTTTGCATCCTCACCGTCCACTGGATTAGTACCAGATGATTGGAGGGTGGAAAACATTATTCCCTTGTTCAAGAAAGGGAATAGGGATAACCC